TATTTATAAAAAAAATTGATAAAGTCAATGCTCATTTTTCTTCTCTTAACCGACCCACCCACCACTCAAAGTTTTTTAATAGAGAGGTTATTTATTATCAAGCAGCGTTTATAGGATTGTTGAAATTATTGATATGTACTGACATACTTTATTAAATCGATATCATCCTCCCTTTCATAACTCTAATTCAATCGTACGCATATTTATCTGGTAATTCAGAATAAATCACTAAATAGTAGCATCTATGACCTAAACAAACAAGCCTAGTTAATTATTGATAAGTATTTAGATTCTCACTATATATGGGCAGCTAAATAAAATTTTATTACAGATAATCTAAGAAGTTTTTATCTTTTATTAAATAATTTGCAATATTGTTTAAACCATAAACCGGCTCAGAGACCTCGCAGCAGCATTCAAAATAATTCTCATTTTCTCTGTAGTCTCTTCTTATCATTCTCTAGGTTTATTCAGATTTATTAAGGTGGATCCTCCAGTAAATTTAATTTATTCTAATTTTATTTGTCACTTACTTGTCGTATTAAACATTCTATTTTTTGATTTAGAATGACAAGCGTGTCGCTCGTATGGATCGGCGATCTTGATCAGGATAAACGCCAGGCTGCTAGCTACAACAGTATTTCCAATGAGAAGTATAGACCAAAAAGGATTGAATTGAAGCCATCTCAGAAAGAAATCAGAATTGGACGTATTAACTCAAAGAATCCCCCTGATTATCCTATTGAAAGCTGTATTAATAGTCGCATGATCTCTAGGAACCATGCAACAATAGAACGCTTATCTAAGGGCGGCTGCATGCTATATGATCATAGTATGAACGGGACTTATATAAACTATACTCGTGTGACCGGTGGTGCTATTCTCAAACACGGTGACATAATTTGTTTTGGTCACCTTAATGGGGCTAATCTTAAACCCGGCGAAACGGTTTCATCCTTTTACTCTGATCTAAAGTACAAGGTAGGCCATTTATAGTTTCTCAAACTGTACCTTTCATCACACGTTCTCTTATGTAACTTCAAGTTTGGCTCAGCCTAATCCATTCGCATTATTTACTGCCTATCCACCCTCTTTACTTTAGTTCTCTATCATCACGATTTTTTAACTATGCTGCATGCATACAATTGATGCGTTTGCCCTCGTTTCATTTAGGTTGAATTGAGTACTCCTTCACCTAATAAAAACTCTTCTGCAGTTGGTGCCACTGCTACCACAGTTTCTAAAAGAAAGCGCCGTGCTAGTGGTGTATCCTCGAATCAGCGTTCCGATGGAGATGATGATGACAACGATGATGACGATGTTAGCCGCTCTGAGGATGACGCCGTCTCAGATACTTCTAGCAATAAGCATTATCATCACAAGCAACCAGCAGCAGCTAAGAGGCCTAGAAAGTCTGTATGTGACGATGTCAAGAAATCCGT